ATTCAGAAGAATACATGTATTCCTATCTTCATCACAACAGTATTTGCAATAACCAAGATTTGGAAGCAGCCCATGTGCCCAGCAGTAGATGAGTGTATAAAAAAGCTGTGGTATGTTTACACGATGGAATACTACTCAGGCGTAAAACAGAAGGAAATCTTACCTTTTGTGACAACATAGATGGACCCCGAGAGTATTATACTAAGTGATATAAGCAGGTCATAGAAAGACAAATAGCATATGATTTCATATATATGGGAAATCTAATGAACAACAGAAACTTACAAACAAAATAGAAATAAATATGTACAGAGAATAGAATGACAGCTGTCAGAGATGAGGGGGTTTGAGGGGCTGACTGAAAAAGGTAAAAGAATTAAGTAAAAATAAATAAAACTCATAGACTGAGATAACAGTATGGTGATTACCAACTTCAACCTTCCTCACCCCCTTTTTCTCTGGTAAAGGAGTCATAAATGGTAATGGAAGGAGGCTTGACTTTGAGTGACGAACACACAATACAATATACAGGTGATATATTATAGAACTGTACACTTGAAACCTATATAACTTTTTTACCCTTGTCACACCAATAAACTCAATAAACATTTAAAAGAATAATGTATTGAAAGATTAAATCATTTTTACTTATTTATTCTTTTTTTTTTTTTTTTTTTATCCTCACCTGAGGACATTTTCCCATTTTTTTGTTCAGGTAGAGTGGGAGGGAGAGAGAGGAACAGAGAGAGAGAGAGAGAAACATCGATGTGAAAGGAACACATCAAGTGGCTGCCACCCGCACGACTGACCAGGGCCGGGGACAAACTGCAACCGAGGTATGTGCCCTTAGCGGGAACCGAACCCGGGTCTCTCAGGACCGCAGGCCGATGCTCCAACCGCTGAGCCAAACCGGCCAGGGCTATTTAGTTATTCTTAATTTAATAGATGTAATTACTTATATTCTGTCCATCTTTATGCATGTTTCTATAATCCATTATTGAAAGTATTAATGTAAAAGCTAATTCTGTAAAAATTTTGAAAGCATATAAACTTCTAAGCTCAGTGGAGATACATGTTATTGTTTAAAATTGCTATTAGAAGTATTTGAGTGTCAAATATATGGTGACAGAAGGACACCAGATTTTTGGTGGTGTGCACAGTGCAATATAATGACGAGTTATAAAATTATACATGTGAAACTTATATAATGTTATTAATTAATGATACCACAATAAATTAATTTAAAAATAAATATTTGTTTTGGGTACTGTACAGATTTGCACAGTTTCCTTCAAATATTCATGTTCACCTGGAATCTGAAGATATTACCTTATTTGAAAATAGGGTCTTTGCAGATGTCTTCAAGTTAAGATGAGGTCACATATATTAGAGCAATTTTCCATGTATCTTTATTTTATATATAAAATAAAGGTTATCCATAATATATAATTTTAAATAACATTAAGTTTACAGGTAAAAATCATATAAGCACTACTGTGACAATGTAATTCAACATCATGCTTATGACATATTATTCAAGTTCTTGACTTTGATCATTAATAAAACAACATATTTGAGTTAATAGCTGTTATGCTTTAATAGTCTCTATTTTAGTATGCATTCTGTACTGCTTAGCCATATACATTGAATAACCTCATTTGTCTCCCAAAGAAACAGTAAAAATCTTTAAATTTTTGTTCAGGGAGTGCCTAGCGTTTAATATCATTAAATAGCCACAATTTCTATTTCATTTAAACTATTTCATGGAACAAAATGTTTCACGGAACTCACAGATTAAATAACTAAATATGTCTCAAATAATTAATATAAATGGAATATTACAAATATCTTCTAAGATCACATCAGTGAATAATAAGATGATTCTGAGGAAGAATATTGCTTATATTACAGATGAGAAAGGAAATCTGATATTTCAAAAGTAATAAAGAATTCTCACAATTTTCTATAAGAATTAAAAATTACACAAAGAGCTGTCTTTACTATCTCTGCATTATCAGAAACTAAGCATGAGGGCAATACATAAAAAAGATTCAACAAGTAATTTTTGAATGAATAAATGGTAGTGATTCTAATCATGATCATGTTTTCTGTGTTATCCAGTAGAAAGATGCAAATATTAAAGACAAACGTGACACCACTGATGGTGCACAATAATGGAAACCTCAGCCTCATTCTAAAGCAACAGTTCTCAACCTGGGGGTCGCGACCCCTTTGGGGGTTGAACGACCCTTTCACAGGGGTCGCCTAAGACATAACAGTAGCAAAATTACAGTTATGAAGTAGCAACAAAAATAATTTTATGGTTGGGGGGTCACCACAACATTAGGAACTGTATTAAAGACTCGCAGCATTAGGAAGGTTGAGAACCACTGTTCTAAAGCGTCACAATGAATTCTTAAAATTTTCCCTAAAATTAGAGAAAACCCTGCTTGTTCACAATTTACACATTGCCATTTAGTAACTGCTAATGTCTGTTTCATTGTTATTAAGTTTTTTCTTGTGAAATTATCAATTATTATGAAAATGCAAATCATTCTATATACCTTTTGCTGTGATTTAAGGCCACTATCACTTAAATATTCTATTCTAAATTATGTACTGATTCAAACTATTGTTTAATATGTGGTGTCTTGAGATCACCATCTCTGTGGTAACTTTTGTTTATTCATCAACTGATCCCCTGAGTCCATTGTAAAAGGAGCAGGTAAAATTATGGTCAGTCAGAATAATATTACTTCTGCACAAAAGATTACATCTTGCCCACCAAACTTGGGAAGATATGACATAAGCTTTCATTCCAACTATAGCTTATTTCAATAATCAAGATGATACTTCTTTAATTGGCCTAGGTAGAAAACTATGGCACCCAGATTCTTAGAGAAATTTGGATTTAATATAGAAATGGGTTGATGTATGCTTTTTTTGTTAACATTGTAGGGGAGCTATTGGTATTATTTTTTATTATCAATATTTTGGATATTTGGTTACAAACATAAAATGACAGAGGAGAAGCACTGCAAAGGCTTTTGAAAAACCCCAAAGCATTTATGTTTAAACAAGTCAAAGAAGGCATTTAAATGACACTGACAAATATCAGTCTTATTTACCAAAAATGTAAGTACATCTTTTGATAGTTTCTTTCAGTGATATATTTTTGCCTTATAACTGTATATTTATGCATGTACAAGTACTCTCAAGTATGTGCAACACCATGCATAAATGAAGCTCAATCTCACAAATTTTACAAAATATATAAATGAAGCAAAATTAAAAACTACTATAATTTACTTGTTCCATGTAACATTATTGTTCACTGTGACATAAATATTTTGTGATTGACAGCACTACATGATTTTTGTGTTCTTATGTAGATATCTTCCAATACCGTTAAAAATAAATTCAAGACACCATGTAATCATTTTTATACAAGATCCTAAAACCTTAATTTAATTTGCTTAACAATAAGCATATATACTTTATGTTTTAGTTATGCACAGTGTATATTTTATACATAGTGAAGGTTAGCACCCATCATATAAAGGGAAAAGACAGAAACAATGCATATCTTGTGACCAGAAAGAACTAATGACTTTAAGTGGGAATATATCTCTCCCTAAATTTAGTAGATAAAATTTTTTAATAAGTTCACTAACATATTAAATTAATTGGCTAATTCTGAGAAAATATTATTTATTTTAGAAGTTCTGAAACCTCTGAAGAATATAGAAAACAAACAAACATTACAGATTTAGGCAGGCTGTCTAAACAATTAAGTATATTTAAATGATCTTAGATGAAAACATATATAAAGTTTTTATGGAAAATAATAACTTTAAACAGGAATAACAATTAAGCAAATTTTGTATAACATCAAGAATTACCATGTGTTCCATTCTTCCTCAGCTACCTACCTGTAAATCGCCCATTCTCACTTCTGAAATCTAGTAGTCCATCCCACCCCCTTTCTCTTTTGTTGAAAATTTACATGTATACTTATTGTTGCCTGACTGTCTTGGGAATGTCATGAATTTATCATGTCTATTTGACTACCCCCATGTGCATACATTAAAATTTGATTTTCTCCTGCTTAAAATAAAAATAATTATCTTGGAAGCCATAAATGAAAAAGTAATCATCTTTGCCTCCCCAAAACTTAACTTTAATGTTGAACTATAACCTTTCTTCATCCCTCAAAATAAAAAAAAGAATAGGCAATATTGTGGGAGAGTTCTAAATCATTTCAGAAATAAGTAAGAATACTTGCAGTTTACAAACATTAAATTAAAAGTCCTTAGGTAAAAGTCCTGTTTATTATCAGGAGCAGACTCACGATAAGTAGGCAGTAAATAAACATACACTCAAGAATATACTTAGAATCTTACAAAAGCTCATTATAACAGATTATTAATTAAAATTAGAATGCCTTGCTGTGCAGATATTGGAATTAGATTAGGAAACTTCCCACTCATTAAATATCTCTATATACTATTATCAGAAATACATTACTGTACCAGATGGGCAACTGAGTTGTCTCCATAGATTATAAAAGTTTGAATAGAGAAAAGAAAACACTTATTCAAAATAATAAAATTAGAGCAATAAAAATATATGTCTTTAACAACTATTGTGGTATGGTGGAAAAATCTCTGAGTTGTATTTGAGAACACAATAACCTCTTATTTTCTTGTTTTTAGGAGTATATAAAAATATTCAGAAGACAGAGATTTATGCTGAAATGTGTGACAATGCAATGAAAATATAGGAATAATGAATTAATATATGCCATAATACATAATGGAATTTTTAAAAGCATTTTGTTTCTATGTACTACAAAATCATTTTTCTGTAGGAGAAAAAGGCAACAATTTCTTTTTAAGTGTGTGTGCACATGTGTTTTTCTTTGTTGGTGTCATGGTTTTCTTATTTCTCCAACTATTTTACAGCTAAAACAAAGAATAGCATTGAAAAGAAGAAACATAATGAGAAATTACACGGAAGTAAGAGAGTTTATTCTTCTGGGATTGACAAATGACCCACAGTGGCAGGTTGTACTTTTCATATTTCTCCTTGTTAACTACATGCTCAGTGTGGCTGGGAACCTGATCATTATTGCCCTCACCCTTTCAGATCCTCATCTGCAGACTCCAATGTACTTCTTCCTTCGAAATTTCTCAGTGTTGGAAATATTATTCACGTCAGTCTGCATTCCCAGATTCCTTGTCAGTATTGTGACAGGGAACAGAACCATTTCCTATAACGGTTGTGTGGCTCAGCTATTTTTTTTCATTTTATTTGGGGTGACAGAATTTTACTTTCTGGCTGCCATGTCCTATGACCGCTATGTGGCCATCTGCAAACCTCTACATTACACCACCATTGTGAGCAGCAAAGTCTGTATCTTTCTTGTCTTTGGCTCCTGGTTTATAGGATTGCTGACCATCTGTCCACCAATAATTCTGCTACTGCAATTGGATTTCTGTGCCTCCAACATAATTGATCATTTTCTCTGTGACTATTCTCCAATTCTGCAGCTTGCTTGTACAAACACTCGCTTTCTAGAACTCATGGCATTTTTTTTAGCTGTTGTAACAATCATGGTCTCCTTAACGCTAGTTACTTTCTCCTATACATATATCATCCGGACAATTCTGAGAATTCCTTCCATGAGTCAAAGGAAAAAAGCTTTTTCCACTTGTTCCTCCCACATGATAGTTGTCTTTCTCTCTTACGGTAGCTGCATTTTCATATACATTAAGCCTTCTGCAAGGGAGAGAGTGACTTTAAGCAAAGGAGTAGCTGTGCTCAATACCTCAGTGGCTCCTCTCTTGAATCCTTTCATATATACACTAAGAAATAAGCAAGTGAAGCAAGCCTTCAAAAACATGGTCCAGAGAATGGCCTTTTCTTCAAATAAATGGAAGTGATTATGTGAAATATATAAAATAAAGCTGACTTAAAACTCTCTGCCCTTCTCTAGATAAATTCTTCAAACACCTAATTTCTTCCTTTCAGTTAGATATGTTTATATATTATCAATGCCTGTTTTTCTTGTTAGCCTAAAAGCTGAGTCCTAAATATTTAAAGTTAGATAACAGTAAATCTCTTACCTCTGTAACTAAAATTTAGATAAATCAATAATCTCCATTGTTTCTTATAGTACAGCAAGGTAGATTATGAATTCATTAAAAACATTTAAAAATTCCTATAATATAAGAAGCTTATTAGAAACTTCATACAAATATAAAACTTATGTGAACGAAATAAAAATATGTATATTAAATTATATCTCTTAAACATAGTTTCTGTGTCACCAAGAAAACATGTTATATGAGTAAAAGAATTATTCAAATGGCTACTTGAATTTATCAATAATATGTAGTTAAAACATTAGAAAAATTATTATTATTATTATTTTTTAATCCTCACCCGAGGACATTTTTCCATTTTCTGTTCAGGTAGAGTGGGAGGGAGAGAGAGGAACAGAGAGAGAGAGAGAAACATCGATGCGAAAGGAACACATGGAGTGGCTGCCACCCGCACAACCGACCAGGGCCGGGGACAAACTGCAACCGAGGTACATGCCCTTAGCGGGAACCGAACCCAGGTCTCTCAGGACCGCAGGCCGGTGCTCCAACCGCTGAGCCAAACCGGCCAGGGCAACATTAGAAAAATTAAATAGAAATTAAATAAATGTGTTAAAAATATTATATTTGCAATTGGAAATGAGGTTGTATTGATTTATGTATTAGTTTTCCTAGAAAAAATAGTAAAGTTTCAGTGCAATAGAGAAGACAATGGTTACCTTATGTTTTAAATAATATTTTCTAAAATAACAGATTATTTAACAGAAGATTTCCCTATAGTTGCCAATCATGTTTGAAAAGGAAAACTGTCTAAAAAGGCTAATTAAGTTATCTTGATAAAATTCACTTTATATTCAGACCCTTTCAAATGATACCAAAAAAATAAGGTCTTTCCTACTGACGTGACAAAAATGACAACTCAGAACCGAATGGTGTGAAATATTGACTCCAAGGAGTATCCTAGAAATGATAACATGTAAATTACTATGCCTTGTTTTGTTGTTGTTTTTAATTAGCAAATCTAGAGTAGTGTCTTTATTTTTCCATTGTCTTTTTCACAGATGGTTCTATCTCCCTCACTCATACCTGAGAAAAGATTTTGGAGGTATTTGAGAACTGTAAAAAATGTGTTCAAGTCTGGTTCCTATAGTTAATGAGTCCTGCAACTCTAATGAATCATTAAACAAAATGATTGTCTTGGGACAGTAGTTAGTATTCTAACTAGATACAGGGTAACTAAATTTGACTTTGGATTCTTGATTTGCACCAGTTTGGTCTGATATATAGGTTAATGTAAAAAGTTCTACATATTTTCTAAGTCTGTAGTAGAAATGCCTCCTCTTATTGCTCATTGACAAGAGTGTCCTTAAGCATTCATCTCTTTCTTACCATTGTACTTTCAAGAAATGGGTTACAGTTTTTCAAACATATTTAGTATACTACTAGAATATGAAAATTAAAAACAATTTTATTTGATTGTGAGTTATTATAGTTATTTATAAATAAATAAAACAGTACAAGTTTGCTTTTATAAGGTTATAACAAATAATCAGAAATGACAAGTGAAAATCAAGAGTCTAGGAAAGCAACATGCAAATGTTAACTAAGTTAATGTATACTACATGTATGATACATACTATAGATGGCATGTAGGTAGACAAGGGAGAAAGAAAGAGAGGAAAATAAGAGGGTGAGAGAAAGTTGATCCTGTTGATTAATAGAAAATTATCTAAGAAGTTGAATCTCATATTCTGTCAATAAGTGTAAACATATGAAAATCAATATAAATCTTTCCAAAAAAATATTATTATGCTTTAAAGTAAAATACTATTTTAAAGTATTGTGAAACAATAAACCTTTGATTGCAAATGTGAGGCTTGGTGAAAAACATCTCAGATATATGTTTGAGTTTATGTTTTTAGAGGGTTTCAAAAAGTATACTTATATTTAATATCTATCACATTGTAATACTTCAAAAATACTTTCTCTTTATCAATGGGGAAAATTACATATATGTAATGATCACAAAATATACATTTGTGCCATAACCTCTTCTAAATTACATGGCAATTACTGTCACATTAATGTATTGTGATTATTTTTAAAAAGTCGCCCTGGCCAGTTTGGTTCAGCGGTTAGAGCGTCGGCCTGCGGTCCGGAGAGACCCGGGTTCGGTTCCCGCTAAGGGCACGTACTTCGGTTGCAGTTTGTCCCCGGCCCTGGTTGGTTGTGCGGGTGGCAGCCACTCGATGTGTCCCTTCACATCGATGTTTCTCTCTCTCTCTCCCTTCCTCTCTCTCCCTCCCACTCTATCTGTACAAAAAAATGGAAAAATATCCTCGGGTGAGGATAAAAAAATAAATAAATAAAAAATAAAAAGTCATTTATTTTTGTTGGTGAATAATCATCTTGAAAGTTGACTTTGACAAGCATGAAGTTAAATGGTCACTTAAAAATAAACATTTCCTAATATTATTGCAAATTTGAACTTCATTAACTCATATTCCCAAGGGGTATTCCTTAAATTTTAGATATTACAGAATGCTCTCAACAGGGTAATAATCATTCATGGACTATCTGGTCCTTTGGTATCGTAATAGCAAGTGACGATTGGCTGAAGAAAAAGTGATAATCATTAAGAGCTACTGATCACAATATCCCAGTAGCAATCAAGCAGTAAGAGGATTCTGGAAATTCTTACTTTTTGCCTTAAATATATAAATACTCAGAAGGAAAAGTGGATAGATCATTAGAATAGAAAATAAAGACACCGGTTATTTTGTAAACCGTCCATCACATTTCTGCCTTGATCTTAACCAGACTTCCTGCACTTAATTAAATTCTTTTAAGTAAGAATACAGTAAATGTTATAATATTTTCTAAGAGAATCTGCTTACTTGAGTTTCTATAAAGAGCAAACCACATTTTTTTATTTAGAAGCAACTTTATAACTCATTAGTGATGGTGGCATTTCCCAGTTCTCTATAAATACTTTTATCTTATCCATTTTTTTCATAAATATTCAGTTATTTTTAAATTTTATTTCTAATTTATACAATGCTATAAGAAAAGTTTAAATATAGTCCTTTAATAATCATATCTTCAATCCCTCCTTAAATTGAAACCTAATACAGTTCAGTCTATGAGGAAGGAAATAGAAATGGGTGAGCAGGCAGGGGAGGAATTTCCTAAGAGCACAAAAAGACTATCAAGTTTTGCTTTGAATAAGGATTTGAATTGCATAGCCAAATGAAATGAGTTTTCATTTGAAATAACATTTAGAGAATATTGAATAAAGCATGGTCTGTTTTTTCTTTTATGCGGCCAAACATACTATTAAACAAGGCTTCTCATGAAAATAATTACTATTAAGAACTATGTATTAATTAGGAACTATGGTAATAAATTTTATAGCATATTCAATTGCTTAATTTTTCCTCTTATTTTTACTAAGGAGATTATTTAAAAGGATTAAAGATATCTTAAGAAACTTGTTAATTACATAGTTGAGTGACCTGATGATTTTCTAAGTTAATGAGGGCTGAGTACTCTTAGATGAGAGCAATATGCAATCTGACTGAGGCAAAACTTTACATCATTAACCATGTTACTAAATTCCAAATTTCAAATGGACTATTTTTTCTTTCAAATGAATTAATGAATTAAAAAATGCTTGGAAGGCTTTTGGCTCTGTCAATTGCAAAATAGACCATTTTTAGTATCACCTTCTTCTCTACAGTTGCCCATGGTTTGTTCCTATTTACCATTAGTTATCATTTTCCAGAATATATAGATTCACAAGAATGTAGGTATCTTTAATGGTTTCAGTTGGCATTTCCACTTCTACAGTTTTTTATATCTAACAGTAGAAATAAACAACTTATTTAGATAAATTTTAAGAGGTATAAATGGGTTTAGAATAGGCCTCACAAAATATGCCACATTATCATCCCAAATAGAGAGAGGATATTACACTGCAATCCTACCTAAACTTTATGTCGCAACTCAAAGGTGGGGGTGGAGGGAAACTATGGCAATGGATAAATAGCTGTGGACATCATAGCATAGAGACACAAGCTGAAAATATTGAGATGTAAAATAAGATTACAGAATGCCACCCTTTGCCACAGCTAACATCACCTAATAAGACAATAGTATAATAACAATAAATTACACTTGTAAATTTGTATTTTTTTTTTGAGAAAGAATATTTACAGAAGCCCAAGGTCAAGAGAAGAGACAAAAGCAAGAACACTAGAGGATGTTGAAAATTCTGGAACTAACACCTTCAGCGAAAGCCACACCCACATTAACCACATCCCAGGAGGATAGTCCTAGCAAGATTATAATAAGGGAGAGAGTGAAATCCTCATGTTAATGACATTTACCTTAGTTTCTATTATCTAATACATGCTCTGCTTTCAACAAAAACATAACAAGGCATGAAAAAAGGCAAAAACAAAACAGCAACAACAAAAAGAAACTATCAACTGAAGAGATGAAGGAAGCACTAGAACCAGAGCCAGATATAACACACATGTTGGTGATATCTAAAAGGGAATTGAGCCTAATTATACCTAAGATGCTAAGAATTTAACTGCCATTTGTGACACCATGGATGGATCTTGAGAATATCATACTAAGTGAAATGTCAGATAGAAAAAGGCAAGAACCATATGATTTCATTCATATGTGAGAGACAAAACTGAAAGCAACAAATCAACAAATAAGAAAAACAAACTAAAACTGATAGACACAGACAACAGTATGGTGGTTACGAGAAGGAAGGTGGTAAGATGGTAGTAAAGGGTAAAGGGTGTCAAATATATGGTGACAGAAAG